ACACACACACACACACACACACAATCAGCCAAAGTTTATGTAGAGTCCAGCTATAGAAAGCAGCGGAAAAATTGCTCTCACAGTGATATATGTGGTTACACTCTCTTACATTTTGATGTAGGGAGCCCAGGAGCCCAAAGGCAGTGGAGATGACTTGAGCATCAGCTAAGCAGTCACAGGCTGTCTCGTTGGGAGGACCCAGGGCCATCTCACCCTTCACAGAGGCTGAGGGAAGAAGTGGGCTTACGCTGGCTTGCCCACAGCAGGTTCTTGGAGGGAACCACAGCAGGCTCTGGTTGGGAACAAGCAATGCCCATTAAGGTTCCCTCACAGCTCGTGGCCAGGGAGACCTCAAGAGGACAGTCTGTCACCACCCAAGCTGTGCCATATGTCATCAGGAGTTCTGATTGTCCAGGACTGCTGCCGACTGGCAATGTGTCCCCGAGGCTGCCTTCGTTCCTCTGTCTTGGTTCCACTTCACCAAGAGTGGTTCCTGCCCTACAGCCTTCCCCCCAGGAGAGCTGCTTTGAACCATATAGGTAGACTCTGGATGGTGAAGAGGATGTAAAAACTCTATGCCCCCATAATTCCCAGGAAGAAGGGTGGCTGTGGGGTACCCCAGGAGGGTCAGTGCAAGTGAGAATAGGGACAAAATTGGTTTAACCTGCAAAGGCTTTGATAAAATCCACAGAGGGGAAGGGAATGGGTACCCAGCCGGTGGCCATTTGGTCTGCAGACTGGCTGGGGTTTCTGGGATGCTGGAAGATTGCTGGAATCTTGGAGACTGAGTCAGGTAGGTAGGCCAGAAGGGCACCCCCTGGTGGCTCATGTACAGAGCACAGCCTGGACTCTTTTATAGTCTTAGTTCCTGGCCCATCCCCTGATACGTGGCCCTGGAGTCATTTAAGGTCTATTATAAGGTGGAGACTAACGGATAATAATGGATAATAATGTGATAATTGACCATGGCCTTGGGGGCAAAGAAGGGAACTCTGCTAGTCACATTTGGGATTTTATCACTCCTGAGGGACTGACAGAGAAGCTGGCTGTATTGAGAGACACCAGCCCAGTGATACCGTTGGAGGTGCCAAGCTTGACAGACTTATATGGAAACCTGCCTTGCACCTGTGTAAATAAAAAACATCATCTGAATGGTAAAACACAGCCCTTGAATGCATGCTGACGTGGTCTTGTTTTCTGGGGTTAAATCCTGACTGTGGGTTGGGGGAGGGGAGTTTGGAGGGGAGGGAGGAGGGAAGAGGGAGATCTGTGAATGGTATGTAAAATGAATAAAATTTTTTTTATTAAAACAAAAACAAAAAATGAGTAAAGGAGAGAAAAGGACAGAAAAGTAAACAAGCTTTTTTTGTGTCCTGAGGCTGTGGGTTCGGTAAAGACTGAGAGGACAAATCCCCAGGTTGCCTTCAAATCAGACACGGGTCACAAGTCTGGAGGTCCTGGGGCTCACTTCAGACTTTGGTCTGCTCAGGTGAGGGACTGGACAACACCAGGAAGCAGCCAGGTTGCAGACAAGTTCTCCAGCCTGTCGGATGTAGACAAGACGGTCCACAGCAGCTCAGCCCTGGCCAGCACCAGTTACCTGGGGTTTAGATGTGGAAGGACAATTGCGACACAGTCAGCCCCAGGGGGCTGCAGAACA